CCCCAAGGCTGGTCCATCCGAGCCGTAAGCTCTGCAAGCTAGCACTTAGGGGGACGCTCGGACAGGGCCCAACATATCTACAGCTTTGTTTCCAACAGGAACGAAAGGCGCATGAACCCCCGTGGGCTGGGCGCCGCTGACTTGGTTTTAAACCCTCGATCCCACACTCGCTTAATGCGGAGCCGCTGGCCGCCGGGGTCAGGATGGCGGCGGCGGAGCTGGGTCTCAACATCATCCCGGGACCCCGTCGGGAACGGCAGCATCCGAGCAGTTAATTGTGCAACACCTCCTCTTCCTCAGCAGCTCAATCACTCCCAACTACTTGCAAGATAATTATGCTATTTCACATTTTCATTAACTCCCTAATACTTTCCCCTAAATTACCCCAGTTAATTATTGATAACCCCTGCCTTCCTCCAGATCTGGCTTAAACTGGCAAAGAACAGACCGGGTTTCTGTTATGCTCCACTTTAGCTCAAGCATTGGAAACTTTAATTAAATTTACAGTTAATTCTTATTGACCTAAAGAAAACCTAAGCATCGCCTACAGCTACGTGACACTGCAACGGGGGAGCACCCGTGCAGCCTTGGAGGGAATTTGTTTTTTAAGAGAGGACTGTGTGCCCAGGAGGAGGGATAAAACTCTTTTACCTTTCTATTAAGCTGATAAATATCAATTTTTAATAAGTAGTAAAACAACTGGCATTTCAGAGGCATCAGAAATGGGGTTTCCTACATAGAGATATTCAACATGTGAAACTGTTAATGTTTAAGGAAAATAGCAAAATCAGAGACGGATGGAAAATGCCATCGTCTACTTCAGAGCCTCCGCTCATCTTTTTACCAGGTTTTCCTTCCCATCCACCCCAGTGACCCATCCCCATCCTCCTCCCACCCTCCAAGCCGCGGTACCCGTTCGCTCGGAGGCTGTGCGGTCGCTGCTGACCCACAGCGTGCCCCGCGCGGGCAGCCAGCGGCTGCGGTTACCAGTCACCCAGGGGCCGAGCCAACGAGCTCAGTCTGTAACATCCTCTAATTGCTCTCAGCCAAGGTGCGTTTCCAAGGGCTGCTGGACCTCTCCGGGATGATCCCTCTATTATAGTCAATGGGAAATTGCAGATTACGGCCGTGCTCCCGGGGGGCCTCATTTAGATTAATTACCTCCTCTGTTGAGGTAGCAAGGTACAATAACTTACAGCCCTGATAAAAATGCAGAAAGCTGCATTAAATACAGATTAACAGCCGTGGCAGGCAGGTAATCAAAGCAGACTTCAAAAACCTGGCTGACATAATTTTCCAGGGTTAATTGGTTTGTGATTGCTCGGCTCCGGGATGATTTTGTTGCAGACGAAGGAGAACTCCTCCCAGTACCGAGCTGAGAGCATGAAGTAATGGATGAGCCTGTCGGAGGACAACCTCGCTGATAAATAAGTCTCCAGACCAAGAGCATCCCTGCGTTAACACCCACGCCGGCCGCTCGCACGGCAGCTTCACGTGCAGGGCAGGCTCTGCCCACGATTCATCCCACCCCAAAAATGCCAGGCAGTATCTTTAGCACAGATGCGGGTGCAA